AAGACGGACCCAACAGACCGAGTAACCCACAAGGTGCCGAGCCCTTCTCCTACCTGCTGCCTGGCCGGGCCTGTGCAGCCGGCCCTCTGCCTTGACCAGGGGGAGCACAGGGGTCCCCCAGGACACGGAGAGACGGGGAGAACCCTGTGTGGAAGGGACCAGAAACCAGTCCCCACCACTACCCTTCTGTCTCCACCCATTTGTGACCTGAGCCCCGGTCACGTCATAGTCCTTGTACCTCCGCGACACTTTACGTCCTGCTGAAACACAGCTGAAAGCAGGGGTCGGCCTTAACCACGGAGCTCTAGGGGCTCAGTCTGGCCCAGGCGTAAAGAAGGACGGCGACCAGAGGCAGGGCCCCAGGACTCTGTCTGGTGGCTGGGAGCCGCAGCCCTGCTTCCCACCTCCAGGGCTTCCCAGACCTCCAAGCCCAGGAAGATCCCAGAACAAGATGGAGCTGTCCACTGCCCAGGGAAGGAAATAGTGACAGCGGCACCCTGGTACCTGTCACTAACTGGTTCGGGGAGGAGCTGTGAATGCCCAAAGCACAAGTACCAAACAAACTGTCATGGCTGGAAAGGGTAGTGGGTCACAAGGCGGCCGACACTGATAACTTCAGCTTGTGCAGTGGGCACAAATGAATATTTGCATCGAAATGTATCAAGTACCAAGTTGAGTTTCAAAGCAGCAGAGTACGGAGCTATGACTATACTTTGATCTATTTTGGACGATTTGGGGCACAAGGGGAGCCCATGTCCTACCACAACGAGCAAGTGCCATTACCAAGGCTCCACCCTGCAAGCTCAGGTCCTCCACCGGCCCCAGGCTGTTGGGCCACTCTAGGGAGGCACACCCATCTGGTACCGGCAGACCCAACGCCAGGGTTCTGCACTTGGCCCAGGTCCCCCAGAGAAGGGAACTCGGACCTCCCAAGACCCCCCAGCTCCCCTTCTGCCAGCCCAGCCCACTCACGTCCAAGGCGCCAGAGAACTTGACTATGGGCTTGGTCCACTGGGTGATCTTCTGTCTGTAGTTGTTGCAGTCTGGAATGAACATGCAGCCGATGTTCCCCAGCTCAGGGTAGAGAACTTCAAGGCCCCTACTGAGAGAGGGAGGCCGTCATCCCATGCTAGAGCTTAGCACTCGCGGGTTTATAAGACTTCAGTCTAATGCTAGTGGGAATGCGAAGTCAGTGAGATTACATTCTCAACCTGCTGTTGACTAGTTGTGTGACCCAAGAGTCACTTGTCAACTTTGTGTCTCAGTCTCCTCGCCTATAAACTGGGATCATTAGCAGGAGCTACCTGACAGGGTTTGGGAGGAGTAAGGTACTGGTCAGAGATTAGGTTAAAAAAAAAAATGGTGCTGTCATCAGTGTTTCCAAGAAGAATGTACAGCCATTTCTGGGTATCTGTTGGGGACTGGGTCCAGACCCTCTCCCATTGGTACTGAACTCCCCAGTGTGCAAATCCCGCATATGAATTGGTGTGGTTCTTGCATATAAATTACACAGCCCTCTGCATCCTTTAAATCGTCTCTAGCTCATTTGTGACACCTAGTACAACATCAATGCTAGGAAAATATTTGTTGTGCTGCATAATTTAGGGAATAATGAGAAGAAAAAAACGTCTGCACATGTCCAGTACAGAGGCAGCGAGACCCTGTCTCAAAAACATAAACAGACAAATGCGCACGCGTGTGCTTGCGCGCACGCACGCACACACACACACACACACACGCACACTCATGAACAAAACGGTCGCTGTCTTTAAAATAGAACATTGCTTGTTAGGAACATTCTAATTACAGAAGGAAAAGGTTTAGCAAGTCAGCATAACCTCCATGGATGGAGAACTTCTCCGTCTCCTAAACTATCCTGAAATCCCATCGATGGTGGGATTTGAGTTCAACATAGCCCATACCTAGGCTCATTTTAAACACGCACATATCCCTCAGGGGTAGAACCTCTAGTAACAAGGACTGCAGTGTGAGCCACTTAGATCTATGTTCTGCTGGGAAGAGGGGCCTGAGCAGCTCCTGTGTTCAGGGAATCTCCTTTCTCAGAAGGAAAGTAAGTGGTGCAGAACAAAGGGACAGTGGCTGTGGTTCAGGACAAAGTCAGTAACCTGTGACTTCACCAGGGTTGGCCTTAGGTTGGACTCACATAGTTTTTTACTTTAACTTTTAGTAGCTCATGTTTGCAGCACATTATGATTACATTCCTCAAGGGGCGCTGGTACGTGCACATAGCACATCTTAATTCTTTTTTCATCCCTTCCCCTCCTCCCTTTCCTTCTCCCTCCATCTCTTCTTGGTCCTTTCCCTTTTGCAAGAGATCTATCTTCCTGTTTCCTACTCTCCTCTGTTTTGCTCATTACATTATGTATAGTGTGGGTTTCTTGTATTAGAGAAGCCATGCCATATTTAAGCCTGTGTGTCTGATTTTTTTCACTTAACATTATGGTCTTAAGATGTATTCATTTTCCTATAAATGACTCAAGTGTGTATAAATACCACACTTTCTTTATCCAGTCGTCTGTTAATGGACATATAGCCTGTTTCCAAGGTTTAGCTGTTATGAGTTGTGTTGCTATAAACATGGATATGCGTGTATCACTGTAAAACGATGCCTTTAACTCTTTGGGGAAGATACCTAGAAGAGGACTAGCTGGGTCAAGTAGAACTTCTATTTTTAGTTTTCTGAGGAATCTCCACCCTGTTTTCCACAGCGGCTGTATGAGTTTACATTCCCACCAACAATGTAGAATGGGGTCCTTTTCTGCGGCAGCCTCATCAGCATTTGATCAGCATCAAGGTTGATTTCTTGATGATAGCCATTCTTTATGGAGTGAGATGGAAGCTCAGTGTTGTTTAACTTTCATTTCCCTAATAGCCAGAGATGCTGAACATTTTTTCAGGAATTTATTGACCATTTTTACTTCTTCCTCTGAGAAATGTCTATCCAGTTAAGTTGCCACTTCTTTTGTTGGGGGATCTGATTTTGTTTTAGTTCTTTCTATAGTCTAGATATTAGTCCTCTGAGCTATAGCTGTAAAAAAAATTTTGCCCATTCTGTAGGTTGTCCCTTCACTCCGTTGGCTGTTTCCTTTGCTGTGCAGAAGCTCTTTAATGTGATACGGTCCCATTTGTGGATCCTTAGTGTCATTTCTTGTGCAGCTGGAGTTCTGTTCAGGAAGTCCTTGCCTACACTGGTGTCTTTAAGAGTTTTACCTGTTTTGTCTTCCAGCAGATTTAGTGTTCTGTTAGATCTTTGATCCATTATGATTTTAGTTTAGTAGATGGTGAGCTATGGCTGTCAGTTTAATTATCTATGTGTAGAAAACCATTTTTCTCAACACCATTTGTTTAAAAGGCTCTCTCGGGGCTGGGGATTTAGCTCAACGGCAAAGCGCCTGCCTGGCAAGCGCAAGGTCGTGAGTTCGGTTCCTGGTACTGGAGAAAAACCCCAAAAACTAAAATAAATAAATAAATAAAAGGCTCTCTCTCCTCCAGCATGTGTCCTTGGCCCCTTTGCCAGAGACCAGGTAGCTGAATGCCCTGGGGGTTGTTTCTTCATCCTCTCTTCAGTTCCTCTGATGCAGGCATCTGTTTTTGTGCCAGCACCATGCTGTTTTTATTGCTGTAGCTTTGTAATACAACTTGAAATCTGGGATTGTGGTACCTCCTCCTTTGCTCTTGTTACCCAGAACTGCTTTTGCTCTTTTGGGTCTCTTCTAGTTCCATGTGAATTTTAGGATTCGTCTCTCTAGTTCTGTGAGGAATATTCTGAAAGTATTTTGACTGGGATTGCATTAAAACTGTATATCAGTTTTGGAAGTATGAGGATTTTGACCGTATTTTCCATTTTCTGATGTCCTCTTTTATCTCCGTTTTCAGAGTGCTGTAGTTTTGTTGTAGAGGTCTTTACTTCCTTGGTCACATTAATTTTTAAGTATTTAATTTTTCTTGATATTATTGTGAATGGTATTATTTTCCTAATTTCCTTCTTAATGAGTTAACTATTGGTGTACGGGAACACTATTGATTTTTGTGTTGATTTATACCCTGCTAGCACATATTTTGAAACTCATAAACATAAGCCAGACTTTAAAATAGATATATTAAAAAGTCTTTGTGCCAATTTTTAAAAAGCTTGCCCTTCTAATATCCACCCTCTCCAAGATCCAAGATCTCTTTAGCGTTAAATTAGTTAAAATGATTCATTTTGAGGACTGCAGGTTCAAGCCCAGCCTCGGTGACTTAGTGAGACTCTTTCTCAAAACAAAAAAGAAAAATGTTGGGGGATATAGCTCAGTGTAAAGACCTGGGTCCAATCTTCAATATCACACACATTTTTTAAAAAGTATGAATATGAGCAAAATTTGTGTTACTGTTTTTTTCTAGGATTCAACTACATAAATTTTTAAGGGAAGACTTTTATTAATTATTCTACATATTTGTGAAGACTCAAATGTGCAGAAGAATGTAGAGTAAAAAGTGAAAGTTCTTTTTCTTTTTTGAGACAGGAACTCACTCTGCAGTTCGGGCTGGACTTGAACACACTATGTAGCCCAGGCTGACCTGGAACTCATGGTGATCTTCCTGTCTCAGCCTCCCGAGTGCTTGGACTATGCCCAGCTAAGAAGTGAGAGTTCTTTCTCCCTCTCCTCCCATTTCTGAGGTGAGCTTAGTAGACTGTGCCCTCCTCAGCCACCAAACTGCAGAGAGTATGGCCACAAAGTGGCTTAGGGAGCCCCGAGAATGACCCCGGAGTCTGGAAAAAGTGGCTTTTCTAACAGGCAGCCTGTGCGGGGCACGGGAGCCTGAGCTGCAGGCTCTGCCTGCTGCCAGAGGGGGAGGGAACATTGTGGGCTGCAGGCTGGGGGATGGGGAGCTCTCTCTGGGTCCCAGGGGCAAGGCCTGGGGTGTGGGGGAGCCCCCTGCAGCCCAGGGAAGGCAGGATAGAGCCTGTTTCAAAGTCCTCCGCCTGCCCCACAAAGCACCCCTCCCCCAGCCGCCACCTTACTTGCATATCATGGTGTCTTCATCGGACAGCGGCTCATAGACACAGGAGTCTTCACTGTCTCCCGGGGCCACCATCAGGAAACCCAGCCACAAGGCTGCTGCAACCAGCCTCATTGTCCCGTTTGTGGGCACCTGGAACCGAACAAAGGAGCCACTCCAGCAGCAGGACCTTCTTCGGGGCCCCTGCCCAGTGCCCAGCCCCACCCTGGGGCCACCTGGCAGGACGCAGCTCCGGCAGGAGCAGGGAGGAGGGCAGACAGCTGTGTGGGCTCCAGCAGCGAATCCGCCACCCGACACGCGTCCCTCAGGAGACCCTGGGCCTGTTCCAAGCTGGACTCGGTTTGCAGCCCTGGCCTGGCAGAGCTTTGCTGCCACTCTTGTCCTGGCTGCCAGCAGGGAAGCCTGCGGGAAGGTGTGCTTACAGGAGCCGGCAGTGCAGCTTTCGGGCCTACTCTGGGGGGCTGGGGATCCCAGGCACAGGGCAGGGAGGGGACGGCAGCTTTGGCTGGGCCTTGTGCGAGACCTCTGCCTCTCACACCCCCAGGTCCTCCAAGACCACTTGTCTCCACAGCCTCTGGGCTGTCTGAAGGTGGATGTGGTTGAACAGAGTGACCAACCAGCATAGGAGAGGGCGGAATGCTTGCCTGGGGCCAGCTGGGGAGGCCAGCTGGGGACAGAGGGTGCAAGGACACTGGCGGCCACAGGCTGCACCTGGCAGCAGTGCTGAGCTCAGCGCTCTCCCAAAATCAGAGCCTCTGGAGAAGGAGGCCTGAGAGGAGAGTTACACCCCTGCACCCCTTCAAAACAAGTAAAATGATCCTGGATACTCCAGGGCCTTGCTGAGCATGATAAGATCATGACCAGGAAGTATCTGTGCTCTGATCTACAGAGCAACTGTTTCCTGCTTTCTGGTTCATTTCCTGCTTCTGGGATCCCAATGTTTCCCTATTAGGCTTCAAGTTAAATACATTTCTGAATCACTCAGTTCCCTAAAGTATAACCAGGACCCTTTCCTTACCCTGCCCCCACACACACTTCCTTCCAAGATCTCCCTGGGCAGAACATGTCTAATAGTAAGTAGTTGCCAAGATCAATGGGAGAATGACATGAACTGTGTCACACAGAGGTGCCCAGCGCACGGTAATGCTCAGGAATTTATGGATAATGCAAGTACTGCTTTGCACAGGTGGCTCTGAGGTAGGAGAGAAAGACTGGGACAACCTGGACAGTCACCAAGTGGACTGGTCACCATGTGTCAAAGGTCGTAAAAACCCATGGCTAACACACCCAGTGAGAAGTTTTCTTTTTTCTTTTTTGTTTTTTTGAGACAGGGTTTCGCTATGCAGTTCAGGATACCCATTTTGTAGCCCAGGCTGGCCTCCATCCTCTTGCTTCAGACTCCCCAGTGCTGGGATTATAAGCATGTCCCACCATACCCAGCCAAGTGAGATGTCTTCAGAAAAGAGAGGACATGCACGGAACACAAGACCCAAAGTGAATTAGTTTGATGGCTCCTGAGCACTGTGGACCAATCGGAAAAGGGTGATTTTTCAATCCTTCATTTGAACCTGGTACTGTTGGCAGGACCAATCAGAAGATACTATTCTCAACCCTTCATTTACATATGGACATAACCAATCAAAAGACACTGTTCCTGATCTTTCATTTCCATCTGGGGAGAGGCCAAATGAATTTTTGGACATGACAGTGTAATGGTGGATACATTGTGTCAATTTGAGAAGTTGAGAAGTTTAACTAAGAGACTCAGCATGGAGCCAGGATCCTCATTTTGTAAACATGCTCATCCTGTACAAGAGGAGGGCATGGAGGTGGTATGTTACACCAACCTTAGAGGGTGATAGTCTGCTTACAATATAAGGCAGGAAAAAGGGTCTTGCTTTCTCCCCATTTTTCCTCTTGTTGCTTTTGTTGTCTTCTGTTGTCTTGAACTGTTGCCCCTGTGTCATGCATGCCACTCTGCCTTGGAGCCAGATGATTATTGACTGAAACCTCCACAAACTATGAGCTAAATAAACTGTTTCACCTTTAATTTTGGACATCAGGTACTTTGTCTCAGCAAAGAGAGAGAAGTACCCAAAGCAGAATTTGGCACCAAGAGTAGGGTCATTTCTGTGACTATAACTGGTTGTGTGGTTCTAGAGCCCTTAGGAATGGCTTGTGAAAGAGTTTGGAAAGGTTTGGAGCTGCTGGATGAAAAAGTAGAGCCGGAACACCTTATGCTATACTCCATGGGAGATTCTGGTCAGAGCTCAGAAGACCAGAAGGCTGATAGTAAAGACCAGGCTTAGGAGGTTTCTGCTGGGAAGAAGGACTGCACTGGCTGTTGGAGTCCAGACAATGCAGGTTATGGCTTGGCAGAAAGTTTATCTGCATTTTGCTCATGTCTAGAGACTTTGCCCTGAGAATGAGATTAGAGGCAGTGGACTAATTAATCTGGCAGAAGAAATTTTAAGGCAGTTGAAAGTTGAGGCAGTGGCAAGGATATTGTTGGGGGTTTTTAGCCAGATCTATGTTGAGAATCAAGAGCAAAGGGCCCAGCAGGGTGATTTAAAATGTGAGTTTGGCCAGAAAGAAAAATCCAGTAAAGCTGTGGACTACAAAGATAGTGCTGAGGAGATCTCAATTGCTGAGAAGGAACAGGAGAATAAAAGAAAAAAAAATGGCCTGAGGGCATCACAAGAAGCATCAAGCCTCCATTTCTTGCAGCCTCAAAATTGAAAAAGTGAAAGACTTTGTTTTGAGGAGAAAGCCCCAGAGCATCATGTTCCAGAATGGTGGCAGCCACGCCATGTTCCAGAATGGCAACAGCATAGAAAATTAGCTCCACAGAATTGGATTCAGAGTTCCCAGCAATCCAGGCACTTGACCCCTGCAACCAATAGAGAGGAAAGCCTGGCTACTGCTCCAGCTGGCAGCAGACCTTGGCAGCATCTTGTGGTGATTGTTTTAGGCACATGCAGAATGCAAGAGTTGTGGGGTTAAGAAGGCTTCGGCTTTCAGAAGGCCTGGGAGGGCAGAGAGTGTACCCCTGAGAGGGCTATTTGTGAAACTGTGAGAGTGAAGCCAAAGGTGCAGTGGAGACCCCAGAAGTTTGGAAAAGCCAAGAACATGGATTGTGTGAGGAAACCTGCAAGGATAGAGCAAAGCCAGCCCAAGAGAGAAGCCATGGGAGCTACTACCACTGGAAGTGTCATAGACGTGGAGCTATCCAAGCCCTCTGGAGCTCACAATTTGCCACAGATTGCCTCAGATGCTGCACATGGAACTACAGAGCTGAATACTTGCCCTGCTGGATTTTGGACTTGCTTTGGTCCCAATCATTTGTATTCCCATTTGTAACTTTTGGAATGAAAATCTTTGTCTTGTGTCATTGAATGTTGGAACTGTTTAACTTTTCATTTGTACAGGGGCTCACAGTGAAGAGTTTGTGTTAGATCTCAGAGGACAATTGGGACTTAGACTTTTCAGCAATTCTGAAACTGTTAGGACTGGCAACTCTTAGACGTGGACTAAATGCTTTTTGCATAAAGGGATGTGCATGTGTCTTTAGGGAACTAGAGGCAGAATGCTATGGTGCTAATGTAATGTAATGTTGCAGACTTAATTCTGGTTCTTAAGGATTGTTAAACCTGTGTTATAATATTCAGGTTGTGAAATGATAAGAATTAGCATGTCTTTGTATCTGGAGATGGGTTAAAAGAAATGTGTCTGGTTACCAAGTTGACAAGGGGTGGATTGTAATGGTTGATACAGTGTGTCAACTTGAGAAGTTTACAAGTTTAACTAAGTGACTCAGCAGGGAGCCAGAGTTCTCGTTTTGTAAATATCCTCATCCTATGCAAGAGCAGAGCATGGAGATGGTATGAGTACTATATCCCCCCTAGTGGGGAGGTAGCCTGCTTACAATATAAGGGAGAAAAAGAGACTTGCCCCCAACCCTGCTTGCTTTTGTTGCTTTTGCTGTCTTCTGCCACCTTGAACTGTTGACCCTGTACTATGCCACCCTGCCTTGGAGCCAGCTGATTATGGACTGAAACCTCCACAAACTGTAAGCTAAATAAACCTTTCCTTCCTTAATTTTGGGCATTGGGTATTTTGTCTCAGCAATGAGAGAAAATTAACTAACACAGCTTACATGGGGTGTCAGTAAAAGCGAGTTTTTATAGGATAAATGTTCTAATGCCTTGTTTGTGTGAAGGGGAGTTCAATCCTGGTATTCTGGATACTAAAGACCCCTGTTGCTTTATCCTCAGGGCCATTGTGAGCCTGTTTATCAGCCTGCTCTTGTCCTGTAGAGCATACCTCTTTCCCACCTTCAGTAAATGTGCACCCTTGTTGCCTTTTCTGTGTGTCTTGTTCATTTCTTTGTTTGGGACACCAAGGACCTGGAAGGAGGCCCCATGGGACCTTCATCTGGTAACACATCTGTCTATCCATCCATTCACTCATTCATTCATTCAGATCCCATGCTGAGTCTGGGGATATGGGTTGAGCACCTTCCCTGTCATCACAAAGGTCACAAGACAGCCGTGACCAGAGAATAATGCTACCAAAATGGTCGCCCAAGGCCAAGAGACTCTTGTCTTCAAAATGGCAGCCATTGGAGAAACCAGAACTTTCCTGGGAGCTGACAGCTCTTAGACCGATTAGGGAAGAATCCATAGTGCGGGGTCACCGCTGTCAAGCCCACTCACCCCAGTGATTCGTTGTCATCTATGTGCCAGGCACTTTGACCACTCAGTCCTCATGCCAACACTATAAAGCAAGTACTGTACATTACCACCCCATGTTACAAAGGAGAGACTGAGGCAGAGAGAGGTTAGCTGACCTCACCTCATTCGCACAATTAGCAAGTGGCAGACCTGGGATTGGAATCCAGGCAGTCTGGCTCCAGGTCCATGTTCTTAAGCTCTCTGCTCCACTGCCCTCTGCTGCTACCCTCTTTTCTTCCCCCTTGGACCACTTTGTTCTTGGCATAAGCCCCAGAATCCTCCACATCGCCTACCTTGCCCTGCTCTTCCGGCCACTCTAGTTGTGCCTGCCAGCCTTGCATCAGGGCCGTGGTAGGTCCTGCTCCACTGTCACCCTACTCTGCTGGGTAGCTAGAGTGATATTTCCTCTCAGAAACTTGCCTTGACACTTGATCAGATTCCTGCTAGACACAAGCAGGTCACTTGACACCTCTCCTTATTATTCTTTCATGTTTGTAATGGATTATGTTGCAGTTATTTGTTTAGTGGTAGCTGCCCCACCCATACCCCAACACATATCCCAGCCTGTGAGTTCTGGGAACAGCATGGAGCATGCGTCCCACACTCCATGCTCCCTACCTGGGATATACAGATGTTTAAGAAAACACATTGGAATGCACGACCCACTTGCTGTTTCCTTCTGACAGTCCTTATTTTCACTTAACAGCTCACAGCTCTCCATAAACATCAATATGAAGCTCACACTCTCATTGGCCCCCAGCCCTGGATCTCTTTTGCTTATTTATCTAACCTTGCCTGGCTTGTTTCCCTACTGAGGCATCTGGCAGAAAGCAGTGATTCTTGGCTTTTTCAAACCTGATCTTTCTCTTGGGGATGCATAGGACATGGCTTCCCGCTTGAGATCC